AGGAGTAGGAGGAGTAGGAGGAGTAGGAGGAGGAGCAGGAGTAGGAGTAAGAGTAGTACGAGTAGTACGAGTAGGAGTAGGAGGAGGAGGAGCCTTTCCTGTGACAGGATTGTGTAGCCTATCTTTAAATCTTTCCTGTGAGAGGATTTTGTGGCATTGCTGATACCCCCAAGCTATCGTCAGCCTCAAAAGGCGACGTGCTTGACTCAAAGATCCAACAAAACTAGGCAAGCAACTGCAGCAAGCTCACACACAGCTTCATCAAATGCGATTGCTTATACATATATGTTTTGAATTCTAACTCTATATATCTATGTGATGTCATCCATGGTTGTTGTCTTTCTCTCCATGTTTGGTGCTTTTGCTCAACCAGCTACTTGTATACTGCTCCTACAAGTACTTGTTTCATGGGGTCCCAGTATTTTCCGCTCGTGTTTCTTGGTCGTCGGGTCGGTGTGGGGTCTCGCACCTGCGGTCCGGTCGGTGTCGCAGGTGCGCGCGATGCACCCGGCCACCTGGCAGCTAGACTCGCCTCATCAGGTCGTAACTTCTTTGAGGATGCGGCCATCGCTAGTAGGTGGGGGGCACATGGCTAGTATAGCTTGGACATCGCTAGTAGCTCCCAAAGAGGTATAAGTACGTACTTCCAACGAAGGGCGTCCTTTCTTGCTGAGTGCGTACTTCCGGAGCAGATCGGTCCCAGGAGCCCCGGTGGCGTAGTGGTCACCACCTCCCAGGCGTCCCAGGAGCCCTGAAGGAACGACGGTCGTCAGTCTACCGGGCCAGGGATGGCCCGTCTCTCCAAGTCCGAGTGTCTCCCAATGAGGCTCCAGAGGTCAAGCGTGCCCAGGAACCCGCCGAGGCACCTCCATGGAGAAAAAGTGCGAAGGTGAGTCTACTGTGAGCACTGGAGAAAAAAGGGTCGGATCCATGTTCTTCTGAGACTTGCCGGATTTTGTTTCATTTATATCCCAGACACGACTAATGGGACTGCCATATATGCCATAGTGTCGGGGTATTGTCATTCAGCCGCTATGAGCTGGCAATATGGCCCAACATGGACACCACGTTCTGCTCGCTGCAAGGTCTAAGGTGAGGCGTTGATCCGTCTCCATCCGCTTACCCCATGGAGGACGATATATATACCTGGACCCACAAAGGACTCCTAAAAGAAGTACAGGTACCTGTTACTTAATGATTCAAGAGGGGTCATGCCGCATGCCCATTTTCTGGGGTACTTTGGAGGGTCTAGGTACAAATTAGTTACTACCCCAAATCCACAAAATCTCCTCTGCGATCCCTCATGCCAAATTTGTCGTCGCACATTGCATACAAATGGCACTCCTTGATCTGTTCAACGCACTCCTGGACAAACTGATCGGTCTCACAACCGGTCACCGCGCGCCGGTCAACGCGCGCCGGTCAACGCACCTGAAATACCACGAAGGGGTCCGTGGCTTGGGGAGGAGTCCAAGGAGCAGCTACGAAGGAAGTTCTCAGGCGTCCTGGCTACTGCTTTCGCGGCGCGAGAGCCGCTGCGTGCAGAGGCCACTTGAGGCTAGATGAGAGAGGTCGCCCACTTGTGCGTTGTTCTTCATGATGTTGCTGGCATTTGCTGGCCCTATTATTTAGTTTAATACACACCCACATCCAGCACCATGGGTGGTTATTAGATGGAAAATACATCAGAGGGGGTCTATAAACCACCCAGTTCCTGGGTGGTGCTGGATGTCTTCTTTAGCATCACGAGTGACACCCGTGATGCGCCCAGCCTCAGCATGATGGACCATGCAACCGTGTCGGCCAGCTCAGCGGGGTCAAGCCTAGCAGAATCCGATGTCCGCATGTCCCGCATGTCCCGGTCTAGACAAAAACCCGAGCTTCTTCTGAAAAGGTCTGTGATCAAACACCGAGTACTGTCGGGATCTTCCAGTAAGAATCCGCTTGGGCCAGGGGTCGGTTCCAAACTGGAATCCGCCAAGCCCTGAGGGTCCAAAAGGTGCAAAAAACGGTGCAAAACGGCACCAACTGAACGCTATTCAATCTCATGTTGAAGTTTTTAGCCTTCAGACCTTTAAGGTACTCAGTTTCCCTGTGTCCCGGGAAAATATCGGTTCCTTTTTTTTTTCACCAAGTCTTGTTCGTCTTGTTAGTGGAGGTGTCCCCAATCCTCATAGAAAGCTATACCAGGACACCCTAAGGGGTGTCTATTGATAGCCCCTTAGAGGTTGGGTGTCCATTCACCACCCCTCGTGGGTCCTAGTATGTGCTATATAGGACTGGAAAAAGCTGATCCACAAATCCTGGGACCCGGGGGACTCGACCGTGTTGCTCGTGGACTACTAAAGCCTACGTCTTGTCCATCCCGGTCCCCGACCTCGGCCGGGCTCCCCAAACCCCCCCACACGACACACGAAGAAAGTGACTGGAACCCAGCAAGTGGGTGACTGTTTTCTGTTCACCTTCAACGACCTGGGTCCCAAAGGTTCCAAAGGGCAACAATCAGAGAGTTGAAAAGCACATCCAGCAGCATTTGGAAGGCTCCAAATTATTTGGTGCAAGAGTTATTCCTTCGGTTTTGCGCACCAGGTGAGAAAGAAATTAACAACATACCATCGTTTTGGAGTTATCACAGCTCTCCACAGCCACCAGTAAGCGCTCGCAGATACCGCTCTCCCGTCTCAGCGGCGGCCGCTGCGAGCGTCGCCCTCAAGATGTGGATCAATCGTGTTTTTCCTTCAAACGTTTCATCTGGCGCCATGGGTCAAAACAGGGACACCTCGGTTGACCACCTGGCGAATGAACAGAATAGACTACGGAAGTCAACCTACCCTGCTTTGGGGCTCGGGGTGCCATGACCCGCAGCCATCTATTCCTAGCTCTTCCTGTCCGGGTCCCCTGTCTGGAGACCTGTAAGTCGTAGGGTAGGGTAATCTAGCCAGGACACCCAGGTCCAGGATGGTCCTGGTTGTTACCTAGTTCGTCTGGAGTGCATCAGTGTACCTGAAAATCCTCCAACCCCATAGCAGTTGCATGTCGGGGTGCACAGAACATTCCTGGAACCCGCTGCGAATCCAGGCCGAGCCCCATGAGGAATGGGTCAAATAGGAAGAGCCCCATACGATCTTCCAACTCTGCAACACGTCTGCCACACTTGGTTTTATAGAGAAACGGCAATTCGAACGTTGCACAGTTGGAAGATCGATCCTGAACCTTCAGTCGGGCTGTGAACAAGTTGAGAATCCACAAGTAGGGATATGTAGGGTAGTCCAGTCAGGAGACCTGGAGTTCGGCGCTGGTTACGGTAGGCTAGCCACAGGACCGCTCACGTCCTCACCCAACGGCATCAGCGGCGTCACCGACTTCGGCCTGTCCGAAGCCACGCCATTCGCCTGGACACGACGAATGGGACTGGAATGGCCAGGCCTTATACGTTGACGCCTTATACGTTAAAAATCCGAAGGTTGCCCAGCAAATATGGCAGTTTTCATGGAGTGCATGATAGTGTATGGGAACCCAATCCATTAATGGTAGTCCCATGGATCCGGTTAGGCCGGAAGATTGAGGAGTTGTTTCTTAGAAGATCTAGATGAGGACACCTCGAAACAAGTTTGAGACCCCGAAAAGAACCTTGGACCCAACCTCTTAGGCAAGGACGAAAGGATCCGACCTCTTAACACAGGGGTCTGGCACCCTCACCAAGCAGAAATCTGACTCCAAGCTCTTCCGGAGAAGGGCCCGGATTCTTTTAGGCTTGGAGTTGATATGATTTGCCATCCTGGATGCCTACAGCCGCCCGGGAAGATGCAACAAAACACCGGGAGTTTCGCAAAGCAAAAAACAGACCCGCTATATCTACGTATAATATAGGCTTCCAACAACCATTGCTTTTAATGGTCTTTACCGAACCACCATTGTTTTACTAAGGATTTTACACTTCCAAGGTCAACCTTTAATGGTCGAACGCAAGCTAACCTTTCTTTGGGTCTTGGAAGCCTGTAGGGTAGCCGGTCTCGCCAAGTCCTGCACGGCACCGCTGACTCGGGCAGTGCCTCCGATCGCTCCGGGGACTCCTCGGCAGTACACGCGACGACGCCCCGGGTCCAACGCGTTTCTTTTGGGCGGCGACGAGCGTTCTGCGTGGTTCTTCGCTGTTCTTCGGTCTTCAGGCGGATCAGTTCGTTTTGGAGGAGGAAGCAAAAGCTTTCAGCTGACCTGGCGACCTTTTTTGTGGAGGTCATGGTTGGTCGATGAAAGGATCCATCCAATGAAGTGCCACGTCTCTTTTGCCCAGCATGAGTGGGAGACCCATAGTCAGTGTGGCTCATGTTGATCGAGAATGGTCGGATGTCAGGACTGTTTCACCGGAAAGCATTTGCTTGTCACGCCGTGAGCAGTTGTCATGCAGAGTACAAACATTATAAACCACAATTTTGTTGAGGATCCGCTGAAGGAGGCAGACCCAGATCTGATCTGGCCCCAAATTAGGCCTTCACTTGACGTAGAACTGTGAACTGAGGAGCCCCTAAGGTGCGTTTGCATTCAGAAGTGAGGGATCTCCCAGCAACAGCGTGGCTGATCTTGAAGCAGGTTGCGTCTGAGCACTCGAAGAGGGTGGCAGGACATGGCAGGAGCACAGGTACCCCACCGATGAAAACATCCTACAACCACTTGTGTGTGAGTCAACGACTTCCCAAACCGTTGCTTGGTTGCTCTGAAAAAAACGTTCCGTCGTGACAGGTGCTTCTGCTCTCCAACGTTCCGTCGTGGAGGTGCCTTTCTCCCGCTCCGCTTGGTCCCCGCAACCCCTCGTCGCAATCGATCCAAGTGGCTTCATGCCATCCGTGCGGCGATGACTCATCGAAGGAGACTTCACAGAGAGGTTCCCCCACGTCGTCCGCGAAGGAGAAACC